TTTCTTTTTTGTGGAAGTCCTAGTTGGAGGTGTTAGCATTTTAATTTTAGTTGAATTCAATTACTTTTAATTAATTTTAATTATTTTTCATTAATTTTAATTAATATTAATTAATTCAAACTAATTTCAGTTAATTTCAATTTAATGAGTTTAAAAGAAAAACTAAACTGCATAAACTTTAATTAAATAAAACAATTGAAAAAAACGACCTTTTGAATCCCTCGTTCGTTTCATCATTTAATTCATTTAAAATTATTTTATTTTAATTTTTTTAATTTTCTTTTTTGGTTTTTATATCTGTAAATGGAATTAAAAATAAATAAATTTATTTTCCATTTGCTTCGAGACTCACTATCTACCCGAAATAAAAAAGTTAATTAAATAGGTAATTGAATTAATTCATTTAATTTAATTAACTATTTTTAAATTTATTTAACTCAATTCAGTAAATTAATTTAATTGAATTTGATTTAATTTGCTCAATTAATTAATTAATTTAATTTAGTAACTGATTAATTAATTCAATCAATTAATTAATGAATAGAAATCAATAAAAACGGAAAGAAAAAAACAAAAAAATGAGATTAACTCAAAAGACAAACTCACGGACTTCAGAAATAAAAGTTTTAAAGAATTCGATTATTTGATTTGTTCAAAATTAAAAATAAATTATTTCTCCAAGTTTTAAAATATAAACGCTTTTGGACCTTTGCTTGGCGATAAGAAACACATTTATTCTTCGCAATACTATTGATTAGGATCTTATTTATTTATTTATTTATTTATTGTTTATCTATTTATTTATTCACTTATTTATTTATTTATTTTGTATTAGATGAAGTTTAATGAACTTGCTTTCGCATCCCAAATAAAAGAACCTTTTTCTCGTTTTTAGGGTCTGGGGTTTAGGGTTTGAAGGTAAGAGCTGTTCAGGGTTTAGGGTTTAGGGTTTAGGGTTTAGGGTCTGAAGGGGCCGCACTTCCTTGAGGAAGCGTTGGGGGACCTAATAAAAGATTAATGTGGATTGAAAGACAAAATGCATCAAATAAATCAAATTAAAATTTAAAAATATATTTAATGATTAAAAGCAAAAACAAGAATTGCAAGACGCACCGCCTGGGCGTTGAGGTGTACGTACACCTCAAATAACCCACCGCTGCTGCAGCAGCAGCAAAAGAGAACAAATTGTTTCTTTATTTACTTCCTGAAGACTAAAAAAATAAATATTTGTTTGTTTAATATCATATATTAAATATTCAATTGTTATTTGATCATTTATTTATTCATTTATTTCTTTTTTCCGCTGCTGCGGAGGAGGCGGGCGGGCGTGAGGAGCCTTACAATCTGAAATGCAATTGTTGAATTGCATTTCCACTTTTATTATTTTTTATTTTTGTTTGCTATTATATTTTATTTATTTTAATAATTTGTTTTATTTTATGTTATTTTAAACTCATTTATTTATTTGCCTCCAATTCATCGACTTGTCCACAAATTCAACTATTTCTGAACTGCGCCGTTCGCCTTTTCTGAATGAAATGCATCAACAAATAAACTTTAAATTCTTTTAATTTTATTTTCTAAAATGCATTTTCATTTCATTCAACTTTCATTTCTTCATTTTATTTTCATTTACTTCCTGGATTCGAAAAGTACAAGTGCGGCTGAGCGCACACGCATCTGAGGTGTACATACACCTCAAAAGCTGGCCGGCGTTTGGCTGGCAATGAAATCGTCAAATTTGGCTGAAAATGCATTTAATTAATTCCTTTTTCATTAAAATTTATCAATTAAATCTATTTAATCAATTAAATCTATTAAAACAATAAAAACTCTCGAATTAGTTAGATTAAGGAAACTGGGAAAAGTAGAGAAAGTGCAGCGGCCACGAATGGCCGTGGGCGAAAAGACAGAAAAATTAGTTAAGCAGCCCTAAATATAAATAAAAATACAAATGTGAATTACTACATAACCCTAAACCCTAAACCCTAAACCCTAAACCCTAAATATAACTGAATAATAAAACAGTCGAATTACTGAGCATTTAAATACAGATAAACAAAAATGGACAGAACTGGCGCACGATCTGGATCCGTTGCCGCAAAATTAATTAATTTATTATTTATTTAGAATTAAAAAACAAATATATTTATTTGTTTATTAAACTGGAAATTAAATTTAAATGAAAGAAAAAATGCCAACGCACAACCTGCGAAAGAAAGCACTCCCTTGCTTCAGGTGTACGTACACCACAGGGGGAGGCCAGGAGCTTTTCAAATTTTTTATTTTTTATTTATGTTTTTTTATTTCCCTTTTTTTATTTTTCTCTCTTCGGTGACTTTCCACGCACATCCTTAGGCCACGCGTTTCATTTATGGAGAACCCTAAACCCTAAACCCTAAACCCTAAACCCTAAACCCTAAGCGCTGAAACCAAAACACCAGTGCAGTCGCACCTAGCCGCAACGCCGAACCCTAAACCCTAAAATGAAATCGTGCGCCCTATCCCTTGCCGGCTAGGCCGGGCATTCATCTTAGGGTTTAGGGTTTAGGGTTTAGGCTTTAGGGTTTTGCTCACCACCTGCGAAAACGGCGAAATCACAGTGGCTGTTCTCCAGGTGTACAGACAGGTGTACAGGTGTACAGACACCTCAAAGCACCTACTCGCTAGCTAGCCAGACAGCTGAGTAGCTAGCTAGCCAAATGGCTTGATGGCTGTCCAGTTGGCTAGCTAAATAGCTAGCTAGCTAGCTAGCTAGCTAGACTCCTCAGTAGCTACTACCCAAGCAACTAGATAGCTAGCTGGCTAGCTGCAGCTAGCTAGCTAGCCAACCATCTGGCTAGCCACATGAGCAGCTATCTACCATGCTGGCCAGCTAGCTAGCTACCTGCCTACCAAAGCAGTTATCTAGACACATATGAAGCTAGCCAGGCAACTAAGCAGCTAGCTAGCTAGCTACCTAAGCAGCTAGCTAGCTAGCTACCTAGATGTAAAGCTAGCTAGCCACCTAGTTTCGCAGCTAGCTAGCTAACTAGCTTCACAACTAGCTGGCTACCTAGCTTTGCAGCTGGCTAGGTATCTACCTACCTAGCTAGCAGGCTAGCCACCTAGCTGTGCAGCTAGCTAGCTAGCCAGCTAGCTAGCTAGCTAGCTAGCTAGCTAGCTGCCTCAGGCTGCCACGGCCTGCAGACTCACGAGCTCGAGTTTCTGCAGTTCGAGGCGCAGCCGTTTGCAGCTCTATTAGAAAGAAGAAATGATTTTGTGGAATTTAAAAAAGTTTATTTTCAAATAAATAAAAATAAAAAAGAAATCCAATAAAGTCCAAATGCAATAAAAGAATAAATAGCTTTTAAATTGAGGGTTTAGCTTCCACTTTCTTGGAGAAAACGCACAGTCTTCAGGTGCAGCCGTAACCCTAATCCCTAAACCCTAAACCCTAAACCCTAAACCCTACGCCCTAAACTCTAAATCCTACACCCTGACTAGCCACTTGGCTCTCTGCCCAGCTAACCACTTAGCTAGCTAGCTGCCTAGCCACAGAGCTAGCTAGCTGGGTCCCCAGCCAATCAGCCAGCTATCCAGCTAGCTAGCTATCTAGCTGGTTAGCTAGCTAGCTAGCTAGCTAACTAGCTAACTGGCTAGCTAGCTACTTGTTGTTCTTACTCCCTGCAACCGCAGTGAACGCCAGTTAAGTGGCTCATCTATCGCTGAAGCGATCTAGCTAGCTAGCTAGATGGATAGAAAGATAAACAGAGAGTTGGCTAGCCAGCTAGCTAGCTGCTTTTCAGTAGGTTGTCTGGCTAGCTAGCTAGCTAGCTAGCTAGCTTATTGAACAGCTAGCTAGCCTGCAGGAAGCTCAATTTCTATTTTTTGGGCTGAGGTGTTTGCTTACTCGCTGAAGCGGGACAGTCAGTCAACGGCAACTGACAGCTAGCTAGCTAACTAGTTAACTAGGCAGCTGGCCAGCTAGCTAGCTAGCTCCCTAGCCAGGTAGCTAGCTAGCTAGCTGGGCACGCGTGGATAGCTAGCTTGCGAGGCAGCTAGCTAAGTGCGTAGCTGTAGTTAGCTGCAGCTAGCTCTGGCTAGCTAGCACTACAGCAGTAGCTAGCTGTGGCTAGCTGCTGAAGGAGCTAGCTATGGCTAGCTAAGGAAGCAGCTAGCTACAGCTAGCTGCAGCCAGCTGTGGCTAGCTGGAGGCCCCTGCGAGCAGAAGTTGAGGTGTACAGACAGCTGCGGGCCTCACTGCCTGTGGGGTGTCTTTTCAGTTTTTTAACTTTTCATTTTTGTTTTGCAACTTTGGTCCACATTTGCACCCAAACCGCAAGCCCTAGGGTTTGGAATAAGGGTTTAGGGTTAAGGCTTTAGGGTTTAGGGTTTGCAGTTCACTGCTTTCGACGCGAAGTGAAGAAAATCATTTGGAAGCTTACTGACTGATAGGGTGTACGTACACCTCACGCCCAGAAACATGCTTCGTGACGTTCTGCTGCTGCTGCTGATGCAGCAGCAGCAGCAACAGTAACAGCAGCAGCAGCAGCAGCTGTTAGTATCTCACTCTCTGATTTCAAGAGATTTAAAGGGCAATTTAATTTCTTGTTCAGCCAACACAAAGGCATCTCAAACTGCAGCAAATGCAATTTAAAGTGGTTTTAAAAATATAATATTTATTTCCCTTTTTGACTAAATTTGAATTAAATGAACGACGGAAAACCCAATTCGAGCTAAGGCGAGGCTGCGCAGACACCCGAACCGGGTGTATGTATACCCGAATGACCCAGGGTGGAAAATTGCAATTTTGAAAAATTCTGTCTTATTTTGTAATTTAAATATTCTAAAATGACAAATAATGCAATAAATATTCAATTAATTCATTTAAATTTGATTTCTATTCGCGCAACAAAGAAGAACTTGCATGCGTTTTGGAGGGCGCGAGCTCAGGTGTACGTACACCTCAGCGCGCTGCTGCACTCCCGTAAACGCACTTCCTGCAATTTCAAAATTCACTAAAAACAAAGTTGTAATTGCTGCTGCTGCTGCCGTTGTTGCTGTTGCTGCGACTGCTGCTGCTGCTGCTGCTGCTGTCTGCGCTGCTGCTTCTGCTGTCTGCGCTGCTGCTGCTGTCTGCGCAGCTGCTGCTTCCTGCGCTGCGGCTGCTGCCTCTTGCGCTGCTGCTGCTGCTGCTGCAACTAAATAAAAAGCAAAAAGAGGCTCTTCTAGAGGTTTCATTGAATTTACTTTTTTAAACAAAAAAGAAATGGCTGCTGCTAAAGCGCGAAGCCAAAAAGACTAAAACGGGATTTATATATACTTATAAAAATATAAAGTAAATATACAATTATGTTTATTTATATTCGTATTCATGTATGTAGTTCTGTTTATATTTCTATTTATATTTATATTTACATTTATATTTGCATTTACATTCAGATTTATACCTGTATTTATATTACTTTATATTTATATTTATACTTATATTTATATTTATATTTATATTTATACCTGTATTTATATTACTTTATATTTATATTTATACTTATATTTATATTTATATTTATATTTATATTTATATTTATATTTACATTTATATATATATTTATATTTATGTTTATATTTATATGTTTATTTTTATTTTAATTTATATTTGTAATCATTCATATATTTATATTTATATTTGTAATTGCATGCGTTTTGTTCCTTTGCCGACGTACAACCTTTTATTTGAATTTGTTCAAAAACAAAAAAAAATTAATTTAAAATAAAAGAAGTCCTGCGGCCAGCCCTAAACCCTAAACCCTAAACCCTATACCCTAAAGCCTAAACAACAAACCCTAAACCCTACGTCATAAACCCTAAACCCTAACCTTAAACCATAGACGCTGAACTCTAGTCCTAGAGGTACGCACTAGCTGTCGCGTGTGCACAGCTACCTAAATTTAAGGGTTTAGGGTTTAGGGTTTAGGGTTTAGGGTTTAGAGTTTAGGGTTTAGTCGGCGGCGGCGAGAACTGCGTTTCCTGCAGAAACAAAGACGGCAAACAGCAATTAAGAGGATTGAAGAGCAAAGGCATTTATTTTTGGAAAAATAAATAAAACAATTGATGTAATTTGAAAATAAAAGATTTAATTTTCATTTATTTGATTTCCCGCTCACCCCCTGCAGGGGCCAGCAGCAGCCGCGCAAGTCCGAGCTGCCTATACACCCCAGCGCCCGCAAACCCCCGGACTCCAAAAAGAATTAAATCTGCATCAAATCTCACAATCTTTGAAATAAATAAAATCAAAACTAAAAATGTTTTCTTTTTTGTTCAATTCGAGCCTCCAGGCCCCAATTTAACCACCAAATGCACCCCCTGCTGCTGCTCCTGCTGCTGCTCCTGCTGCGGCGGCGCGAACGCACGCACTTCGTTTGAGGTGTACGTACACCGTAAAAACAGCCGGCGTGCAGCACAGGTGGGCCCTCCCATTAATGAATTATTTATTTATTTCACTTAATTAATTTAATTAAATAATTAATTGCTTGATTAATTTAAGTAATTAATTAATTAATTGATCAATCAATTAATTAATTTAATTAATTAATTATTTAATTAATTTAATTAATTAAGTATTTAATTAATTTAATTAATTCTTTAATTATTTAATTAATTAATTTAATTAATTGTCCCCTGTTGAGGCTTTAAATAGCTAAGTGGGGCTAAAGATTAAGAAGCCTCACTTTCTTCACCGAGGTAAATAAAAACTCATAAAGATGTGCACTGAGGAGGGTTTAGGGTTTAGGGTTTTGGACTCAGGGTTTAGGGTTTAGGGTTTAGGGTTTTGGAATCAGGGTTTAGGGTTTGGGGTTTAGGGTTTGGGGCTTGAAGACTCACCTCCCTCTGATTGCCGCAGAAACCAGATGCAGATAAAACAGCTTTGCCCTTTTATCCCCCGAGGGTTTAGGGTTTAGGGTTTAGGGTTTAGGGTTTGGAATTTGGGGAAGTGCGGTTGACGCTCACCTCCATAAATTGTTCAAAACTCTGCCGCAAACAAACAAACCACATCAGCACAGCAAAACACCAGGGTTTAGGGTTTAGGGTTTAGGGTTTGGGTTTAGGGTGCCCCTGAGGCTACACTGGCAACTATCTATCTGTTGCAGAGCAAAAGTGAGCAGCAGCAGCAGCAGCAGTACCCTTCGGAGCTTCGAATCTAGGGTTTAGGGTTTAGGGTTTAGGGTTTAGGGTTTAAGGTTTAGGGTTTAAGGTTTAGGGTTTGGGGTTTTGGCAGCCTCCTTACGGTTTAGAGCTGCGCCGTAGCGCCCCACTCGCTCCAGGCCTCGGGAGCCGCTTGAAAGACACAACTGAGGGTTTAGGGTTTAGGGTTTAGGGTTTAGGGTTTAGGGTTTACCTGTGCGACGGCCTTTTTCTTTTTGGCGGAGAGGGCGAAGAGGGCGAGGAGAAGAAGAGAAGCAGCAGCAGCAATTTTAAAAAAATCTTTTTTGTTGAATTGTTCTGCTGCCAGCACTTCTGGCGCAGTTGGGGCCCCCCGGGGGGGCCCCCAAACAGCAGCAGGGAGTGCTGTTGCTGCTGCTGCTGCTGCTGCGCTGTCGGCGTCTTCGAAGGCCATGGTGCTGAAGTTGAAGGCTGCGGGTGCTGCAGCAGCAGCAGCAGCAGCAGCAGCAGCCAGCAGCAGCAAAAGGGGAGCTTTTAGATCCATTTTTTCGCAGCTGCGGCGCTGCCGACGCGCCCAAAACAAAGAAAAACCACCTCCCGCGAGGCCCCAGGCCGCATGCTTTATTTAACTCTTCTTTTTATTCAAAATAAAACATTTAAATTCCAAAATGGCGTTCAAACGAGCGCAAAAACGGCTGCAGGCTCAGCTGTACAGACACCGCGCGCAGCCCGCCCCCGGCGCCGGTCGGCTGCGGTGTCGCCGCGCCCGCCTTTCCGCAGACCCTAAACCCTTTTTTAGGGTTTAGTTGTGCCCATTAACTCTAATTTGCATTTAAAATCCAATAAATATGCAAAAAACACTAAAAGATACAGAGAAAACGCAAATCCCAGGGCCGGGCAGCAGCCCCAGGAAGCAAGCAGGGCTCGCCGGTCAGGAGGCTGCAGAAACTCGCTTTCTGCCCTTCTCTAATTTGTTTATTAAATTCGAAAGAATTCATTTAGCTGAATTTAATTAATTTTCAAAAATAAATCCATTCTCTCGCGATCAACTGCCGCCGTCGCAGCGCCCCCTGCTGCTGCTGTATGTACACCCCAGCAGCAGCAGCAGCATCAACAGACTCACCTCTCGCCTCTTCTCTATCCCCGAAATTCCCTTTTGGAAGACAAATGATCAAAAGTACCATTTGATTTCGTTTTTTCAGTTTTTTCTCGAAAAGAAACGCTTTTTCTGCTGCAGCCAGGCGCGGGGAGCGGCCCACACCCCCACTTCTCGCTGCAGCAGCTCGTGTCTGCAAAAAGAGGAAATAAATAGAGACTATAGTAATAATAAAAGTAATTATAATAATAAATATTAAAGTTTTCATTCTTTGCATGCATTTATCTCCAATTAATTCATTTCTGAGGTCTTCAAACAAACAAAAAAATTCCCGACGCCCCTGGGCGTCGCTCTCCGTCCCGTGTCGATACACCCCAGCAGCGAAGAAGGCAGCGCCTCAAATCGAAGGAAACTCATTTATTTGCAAAATGCAATTAAATTAATTTCTTAAAAAGGGAAAAATGGCTTTAAAACGCCTCTTTTGGCGCCCTGCTGCCCCCGCTGCTGCTGCTGCTGCTGCTGCTGCCCCAGGTGTACGTACACCTGAATGCCTGGCCCCGAAATTCAAATCCTACGCGGTGTATCTACAGCTCAGGCCACAGGCAAGAGCTCACTAGTGTGGGGTGCACGTACACCCTACTTTGCCCCACAAGCAGGGTGTGGGGCGTCGGGTGTACGTACACCCCAGCGCCTGTCCTCGAAGTTTGGACTAGTTGAGGTGTATGTACACCTCAAAGAGTCGCGGCGAGCTTGTGGGGTGTGGGGTGTACGTACACCTGAATATCAGCAGCTGCAGAAGCTGTTCTAGCAAACTAGAAACCCTCCGCTGCAGCACTTAGAGTAAAGCAGCAGCAGCAGCAGCAGCAGCGGCAGCAGCAGCAGCAGCAGCAGCAGCACTAGCAGCAGCTGCCTAATAGAACATCTGCAGCAGCAGCAGCAGGAGCGGCACAAAGCAGCAGCAGTACCAACAGCAGCAGCAGGTCAAGAAAGCTGCAGCAACAGCTAAGCAACTAGGACTAAAGAGTGCCGCCAGCAGCAGCAGCAAGAGCAGCAATAAGCGGCAAAAACAAAGTAAAAATAAACGACAAAAAGTACTAGAGAGCAGCACAAAACAAAGAAGAAGCCAAAGAAGCAGCTCAGCAGCAGCCAGCAGCCTTTCCTGCTGCTGCTGCTGCTGCTGCTCGCGCTGCCGTTCTTCCTGCTAACACCGCCGCTGCCGCAGCAGCAAAGCAGCAGCAGCAGCAGCAGCAACAGCAGCAAAGCAGCAGCAGCAGCAGCAGCAACAGCAGCAGGTGGGCCCTTGGCCATTAAATTGTCGAAAATGATAATTTAATTTATTTAATTTGCTGCTCAGTTTCATTTGTTGCGCTGCAGTCTCAGCGGCTGCGGATGCACGAATTCCCGTGCAGTTGGCTGCGGGCCCCGAGAGCCCCCGAGGCTCCGCAGCAAACTCCTGCAGCAAACACAACAGCTGCTGCTGCTGCTGCTGCTGCTGCTGTTGCTGCTGCCGCTTCTTGGGGTCCCTTAGGTGCTGCTTTTGCTGCTGATTGCGCATCTGCTGCTGCTCCTGCTTCTGCGAATTGCTCAGAAGAGTAACCCGCTGCTGCCTACTCGTCTGCTGCTGCTGCTGCTGCTGTTGCTGCTTATCTGCTGCTGCCTATCTGCTGCTGCTGCTTCTACTTATTAAGCAAATGTGGCATGCAGTGGCCAGCAGCAAAAAGAAATGCACTCATCAATTAATTAATTGATCAATTTATTTATTTATTTATTTAGTTATTATTTATTTATTCGTTTAGTATTTATTTATCTACTTATTTATTTATTTATTTATTTATTCAAATCTTTTATTTTATTTTTACCTGCAAGCCACCAGCTGCCGCACCATCAGCTCCAGCGGCGACCACACGGTAATGTTGCAGTGTCTTTCTGAAAGCAAAAAATAAATAAATGAATAAATAAAATAAATAAATAAATAATAAACAAACCATGAAAAAATAAACAAATAATAAATGTTGGAAAAGAAATAAAAGTTTTGCTTCCTAACGAGGCCTCATACACCGAACGCATCTGCCTATACACCCCAGCACCCCACAGCTGCTGCTGCTGCTGCTGCTGCTGCTAGTGTTGCAAGTACTGCTGCTGCTGCTGCTGCTGCTGGTTTTACTAGCACCTAGTACTGCAACTGCTGCTGCTGCTGCTACTGACTGCTGCTGCTGCTGCTGCTACTGACTGCTGCTGCTACCACAAATACTACTGCTGCTGGCGCTGCTGCTGCTGCTGCTGCTGCTGCTGCTTACTTAAAATGCTTTTATTGACGGCGCTGGCTGCAAGTGCTCTGCGGCTGAGACTGAAGACATTTGCTAGAGGGCCTTTTTGGGGGTCTTCATAGGCCAGCAGCCCCAGGCACTCCTGCATGCAGCCACAAGTTGCTGCTGCTCCTTCGTGCAGCAGCAGCAGCAGCAGCAGCAGCAGCAGCGGCAGTGACAGCGGCAGATAGGAAGAGGGGAATTCACGGCAGCAGCAGCAGGAGGAGAAACAGCAGCTAGATGAAGCAATTAGAAGCAGCAGCAACAACAATTAGCAGCAGCGTCATTAGAGACAGCAGCAACAGCAGCAGTCTGCAGCAACAGCAACTGACAGCAGCAACAACAGAAGCATCTGCAGAATGAGAAGCAACAGCAACAGAAGCAGCAACAGCAAGAGCAGTTAGCAACATCGTCAGCAGCACCATCAGCATCATCAGCAGCAACAGCAGAAGCAACAGCAGCAGCGTCAGCAGCAGCAACAGCAGCAGCATGAGCATCATCAGCCTCAGCAGCGCCAGCAGCAGCAACATCAGCAGCAGCAACAGCAGCAAAAATCAGCATCATCAGCATCAGCAGCGCCAGCAGCAGCAGCAGCAGCAGCAACAGCAGCAGCAGCAGCAGCAGCAGCAGCAGACATGAATGGCAGCGTGGAGGGGCCCCGTGGTTTCTTCTGCGAGCGGCAGCAAATGGGCGCTGGCGAAGGCGAGGGCTTTGCTGCAGTCTTTGGCGGGGGGCCTCAGACATTCAATTACAAACTGAGTTTTCAGCAGCAAAGCAGCAAGTCTGCAGCACTCGTCCTGCCACGCAGCAGCAGCAGCAGCAGCAGCGGGGGTTGCGGTGCTGCAGCAGCAGCAGCAGCGGTTGCGGTGCTGCAGCAGCAGCAGCAAAAACGGCAGCGCTGCTGCTCCTCTGGCTGCAGCAGCACTGCTGCGCCAGTGGCAGCAGCAGCAGCAGCAGCAGCAACAGCAGCAGTGGTAATTACAGCAGCGGCAGCAGCAGCAGCTTCAGTGAAGGGGACCCGTATACCCTAAACCCTAAACCCTAAACCCTAAACGCTAAACCCTAAACGGCCGCGGACTGATTCAATATCGGGATTTTAATATTTGCAATTGCAACTGCCACCATCTTACTGCCATTAATTAATTTAATTTAATTTATTTAATTTATTCAATTTAATTAATTAATTAATTAATTAATTAATTAATTATTAATTATTTATTATTTATTTATTTATTTGCGCACTTTTGAGGGCTGGAGAACAAGAGGGTAAAATTTGTCTAAGAGAGAAATGGCCCGGCCTATTTGGCCCTCCATGATCGCCTCGCGAATTACTGAAAATAAAAAAATAAAAAAAAATAAATAAATAGAAAAATAAATAAATAAATAAATGAAATAATAAATGAATAATTATTAATTAATAGGGTGGAAATGGTCTCAAGGACAGGCAGCGCCGCTCGCTGATTGGCCCTGAAGCTACCGTAAACACTCTTTTAGGGTTTAGGGTTTAGGGTTTAGGGTTTAGGGTTTAGGGTTTAGGGTTTAGGGTTAGGGGCTTCAAGCCCAGCATCGGCAGCTGCGCCTTCCGCCTCATAGCTCGTAAAGTAACGAATAAACAAAGAAACAAATAAAAAGCAAATAAATAAACAATTAAATAATATAGTTTAATTAATTAATTAGTTGAATTAATTAAATTACTTAATTTGATTTAATTAATTCAATTAATTAATTGATTATTTACTGCTGCGAAGGGCAAGAGAGCGCCGCAAAAGGCGCGGCACAGCTCGCGGCCACAGCACAACTGCAGCAGCTTCCTCGCTGCTGCTGCTGCTGCTGCTGCCGCTGCTGCTGCTGCTGCTGCTGCTGCTTCTTTCCTGCAGCAAAGAAAAATGTTTGAAAGGAGATAAAAACAAAGAAGAAAAAAATAAAAGTTTGTTAAATTGCTATGTAATTAATGGTACATGAGCGTTCAAAGGGCAAACATACAAACAAATAAAAAACAATAAATAAACAAATAAATAAAAAAATAAATATAAATAGGTAAATAAACAATAAATAAATAAATACATAAATAAATATAAACAAATAAATATAAATAAAAAATAAGTAAATAAATAAACAAGCAAAGACAGAATGACAGAAAGCAAACGAATTGGCAAAAAGCAAACGAATAAAAAAACAAAAAGGAAATGCTGAATAAAGAACAAGCAAGCCAATAAAGAAACAAAAAAATAAATAAATTAAATAAATTAACTAAATTAAACGGTTATAAATAAAAGAGATAAAGTAAATAAATTAAACGACTAAAGTGGCTAAATAAGTTGAATAAATTAACTAAATTAAATAAATTAAATAAATTAAACAAAACTAGTTCAATTAAAATAAGCCAAATTAAATTAAATTAAATTAGACAAACAAAACAAAATGAAATGAAATGAAATAAAATAAAATAAAATAAAATAAAACAAAATAAAATAAAATAAAATAAAATAAAATAAAATAAAATAAAATAAAATAAAATAAAATAAAATAAAATAAAATAAAATAAAACTTCTCACTTCGTCGGAAGAGGAGTCGAGGGCGTTGTTTTGGGGTGTACAGACAGCTGGGTGCTGCGCGTCTTTTTCGGCTTTTGTTTCTTCGGCTTCATTTTCTTTATTAATTTTATTAATTTTATTAATTTTATTTGTTTTATTTGTTTTATTTAATTCATTTGCTTTTTCTCCTTTTGCTGCTGCTTCCGACTCCCCCGCTGCTGCTGCAGCAAACCAAACAGCAGCAGCAAATGGAAGTTGTAATTAAAAGAAACTAAAGAAGAACAAACAAACAAACTAACAATTAATTAATTAGTTTATTTATTTATTTGTTTACTTATTAACAAATAAAAAATAGTTATAAGTAGCGAGCAAAAATAAAGAACAAATTCAGACCAACTAGTCAAAGGCCCTGCTGCAGGGTTTAGGGTTTAGGGTTTAGGGTTTAGGGTTTAGGTGTAGAATTTAGGTTTCAGCACCTACGGTTTAGCTCCTACGCTCTACGGTTTAGGGTTTAAGGTTCGGGGTTAAGGGTTTAGGGTTTAGGGTTCAGGGTTTAGGGCTTAGGGTTCAACGTTTACGGTCTAGGCTTTAGGATTTAGGGTTTAGGGTTTAGGATTTAGGGTTTAGGGTTTACTTTTGTCCCTGAGGGCGTTGAGGGTTTTGCTGAAGCCTCCTTCGAGCAAATAGGCCTTAACAGCAAAGTTGATATCTTCCAAATTTATTTTTTGATTTAAAATCATTTCCCTTTCCTCCTTCAAGTGCTTCTGCAGCACAAAACACACTCAACTACTGACTGCTGCTGCTGCTGCTGCTGCTTACGCTGCTGCTTACGCAGCTGCTGCTGGGCCTGTCGCTGCTGCTGCTGTTGCTGCTGTTGCTGCTGCTGCTTTTACTCCTGCTGCTGCTGCGGCAGCAGCAGCAGCTCCCCCTGCTACTGCTGCAGCTGCTGCTGCAGCTGCT